GCTGGGGCTACAGTGAGCCATTGCAAACATCATGGAGGATAGATGTCAGGCTGCACTCTGGCTTTTTTTGTTCTTCTCTTTGTGTTTTGGGGTGCTTTTTTTTCTATTGCAGCATTACACTTGCCAAAGTGATTTAAATTACTATTGCAGCCCTGAGAGCAACACAGCTTTGCCCTGTGGGGCTCTTTTTTAATTGTTCTTAATAAGGACAGGTGCAACAGAGCACAGAGACTACTCAGGGACATGCTGATTTGGTCCATGTGATTTATGCTTTTCAAGTGTATGCTACAGGCTGAGCAGTAGCATTGGAACATGGAAGGTTTGGGAGGATTTCTTTGCTGTGCATTTGCATGTCACCTTGCCTTTAATTATGTTGTCTCTTTTCACCGAGTCTTTCATTGAAGAGCCTGAGCATTTGTGAGTTTCCAGCAGTGAAACCCCTAGACCTTGGGGAATGATGCTTTACAGTGGGATGAACCACTTTTCTCTGGTCTAAGCAGCAGATGGTTTTTATGAGGATACCTTTCACTAGTAAATTTTCTATAGATCAAATGAATGGTGCCCAGATAATAGTGTTTTGAATCACAGTTAATAATCCACAGGACGTGTTTGTCATTACAGCTTTTCTTAAAAATGCATGTGTTGGTGTTAGAGAACAGTGGGATTCCTCTGAGCCTTTGTGATGTTGTCTTTTTTACAGTGTGAAATACATTTCCTGCTCCCTGCTGATCCTTCATGCTGAAGATGATCCAGTGGTACCATTTCATCTGGGAAAAAAGGTACACATGTGGCTCTGCAAACTCAGTTGGTGGGAGGAATTGGTATGGATAGAATGATATCCCAGCCAGGCAAGAAGTCAGCAATAGGAAGGTGTATGTAGAAACACATAGCCCAAGAGGACTGTAGGTTCTGTGGTGTTGAAGGTGGCAAATCAATAGTGAAATGGAGCTATAGCTATTGAAGCTGGTCAAGCCAGGGCCTGAGAGGGGTGTGAGTTTGGCAGAGGGAGGTGGTTAGGAGCATCACATGTCCCTCACCTGCCTCCCCTTGGATTTAGCTTTACAACATTGCTGCGACGTCGCGGAGTTTCCGAGACTACAAGGTGCAGTTTGTTCCGTTCCACACAGACCTCGGCTACCGGCACAAGTACATCTACAGGAGTCCAGAGCTACCTCGAATACTGCGGTAACAGCCTGGCTAACTGCGGGGCTGGGGCTTGGGGCTTACCATGCCATGCTCACCCAGGAGCAAGAGATGTGTATGGGGCAGCTGGACACCCTCTAGTCTCCAGAGTGGGTGAGATCCTGGGGCTGGCATAGCACAGAGTCAGAGCTCCCCACCTCCTTGCAAAGCAGGTTTTGGGTAGGGAAGCCACAGAAATCTGGGAGCACTTCTCTCTGGCTCAGCTCTGCTGTGAGCTGGATGCTCTGTGGAGGAGTTGTTTGTAGAGCAGTTGCTTCTGCTTGGCTCTTTTAGTGGGAGCCACTGATGGGTGTGAGAGCAAAGCTTGGTGCTGTTCTATATTGCTGCAAATGCTTGAGCCATAGTATTTGCCAGGGGAATGGGAAGACCTGCAGTGTGAAGCATGCATCAGAGTATAGGAGAGCTGAGTGTCACTGCTGTGTCATTTCTTTTCCTAGGGAATTCCTGGGAAAATCTGAACATGAGCATCATCACTGAAGACTGGCTGCTCGTCAGTACAGAGATTTTCTTTTCTTCCTCTCTCTCTTTTTTTTCTCCCCATTCCCTGTGGGTCAGTCTGCCGTTCTTTTATCCCTGGCACTAGAGGAGGTCAGGGATTCCCACTCTCGTCCTGATATGTACCCTTGGCAACTCCAGCTTCTGGCATCAGCATCTGTGACAGTAGAAGAAAGAAGTTGTTGGCTTCTTTAGTGTGGATGGATGGGTGATAACAGCCCAGGAGCCAGTATCAAACCAGTGAAAAATGTAAGCATAACGAAGTCTGGCCAATCCAGTATGGTACCACTGAGGACAGATGTTTCTAGGACACTGTGTCATGACCAAGGATGTTTCTTTCAGTTTTAATCACAGCTGCTGTTTTGGATTATGTAGAGATTCATTTGTAGGCAAATGGCTATTGCCAAATCTCCATACCACAGTTGTCTTGCTTGAGTTTGAGGTGTTCTCTTTCTAGAAAATCCATGTTTTGCCTTTCCTTTTTGGTAAGTGGCTGTAATTATGAATACATGGAAGATCCAGGTAGTGAGAGATATTTTTCTTTAGCTCTTCAGTCACAATGTGTTGCAAGTGTTGGGGTAATTGCACACATTTGGAAATAAAATGAAAGATTATTTTTTTTGTTCTTCATTTTGAAACATCTGTTTAATGGGAAAGGCTAGTGCCCTTTTATCTTTCCTATACCCTCTTTCATCTGAATATCATTCCTCTCCCATTCCTGTTATCCTCTGTGGGCCTCCTCCCCTTCTTCACATGCACCTTGTATTAGGATTGAAATCACCTATGTATATAAACTGCAAACTTGGGTGTTTAAGCCAGAAAAGTGTAAGATTACTTTTTTTATTATCTCCCCCTTCCATATGCAAGGTGTGCCCAGGTTCTGGGAACAGATGTCTTCTGTTCCCCTGTACACACCCAGACAGCTACATGCTTTCTTTTGATGGGAAGGGCAAGTTGATTTTTTTTACCCTGAACTACTTTTTAGCTCCTTAGGTCAGGTTTTCCTGTTCCTGGTGGCCATGCTGTTCCACTCTAGTAAAAAAGAAGCAGTGGTATGCAGTTCTTAACGCAAAAATAAGTCTGGGGTGCACTCCCCACCTCCCCCTCCCCCTCCCTTCTGTGCACTTCCAGTAGCACATCTCCGCCCCTCTGATAGCCATGGCTGAAGCACATTGTCCAGGGGGCAGAAGTAGAAATGAGCCTTTCCATAGGGATGTCTTCTGGGGATGCCCTTGCTGTGCTCGGGGCTAGAACAGGGACTGGTTTATGCTACTGATGAGCTCTGCACTGACTTTGTGGGGTCTGGCTGGGGTCTGGCCCTGCCCCCCATCAGTCTATACAGACAGTACTAGGTGCTGTAGGTTTAGTCACTAGTGCTCAGAGTGGATTGTGCTGCCTCAAGGGTCTGTTCAGGGGTGTACAGCATAGTATAAACTGCTCAGCATGCATCCGAGTTATATCTGCAGGCTCATACTAGTTGCAAAGCAGACAGTAGCTTATTCTTGTACCAAGACTGTTCTGCCATTAGCGTGGTTGTCCCTGAAGTTTCTGACCCATGATACTCATAAGCTAGCTGTGCCACTTAAATAAAAGTGCATCAAACGTAATTTATTGCACTGACAGAAGAGAAACACTTACCTGGCTCTGGAGAGTAACATACACATTCCAGTTAGCACTGCTGCTGACAGCTGGCTTGGGGCAAAGCGCAGCCTAAGCCAGGGCCTGGCTGGCTGCCCTCCTCCTGTGGGACAGAGCTGGGAGTCCAGCACATGGACTGCTGGTGTTGGTGATCCCAACACTGCCATTCCTGTTAGTAGGCCAGTGATATGCTTGGAAATTTAAACTGAAATGTTTATCTAAAAGTGGTGTAGCTTTAATAAAGGCATTGACTGCTGATCACTTCAGCTTTACCAGTTTTACCTGGCAGTTTCTGGGACCTTTTTCCCTGTTGGGCATGTAAGCTGGGTGTGTGGCAGGGCTGCAGTAGGGTTGTGTGTGGGAATGTGAGCTTGCAGCTGGGACTGGGCAAATCTTTGTGGCTGTTGCCAACTCTGGGGTAGTGGCTCTCCTGGAGTCCAGTGGGTGTGTGCCTGTAGTCTAGCTGCAGCCCAGGATCTGCTTCTCCACTGGGAGTGGGGGAAGTGGGAGCTGCCTGTGAGACTTCTAATGCAGGGGTCCTGTGTGCCATTTGCATGGCAAACCCAACACAGTAACCCCCACTCCAGTGCATATAGTCAACATGCCATGGGTGGAGGTAAATGGCTTTGGCCAGAGCTAACCCAGTGCAGCCTCTGGTATTAAATTCTTCCTGCACAGCCTGTGCACTGCCAAGACTGACCTTTCCGCCATAAGCATGTTGCCTCCATGATGGTGCCAGTACTCCTGCACCCTGCCAGCTGCAGGGGACCACATCCCATGAAGCCACAGCTGGGGAAGGACAGCATGGCTTCAGGCATCATGGCCTGAACCTGTTGCAACCTGAACCCAGAAGTGTGAAGTAGTCACAAGTCATTCCAAAGTCGAACCAGCAGGTGTTCTGGTTGTTTTAATGAATTGGTGTCACACAGGGGAGTACTGGTGCACTACACAGCACTATGGGTGTTAAACTCTGACCCCAGGAGTGAGAGGGACACGTGGAGCAGCATGATCCCACTGCAGAGGAATGCCAGAGGTGTGATCCATGTTCACCCCCTGCATAGCACCCAGCACCCAGCTGTACCTGGAGAGCCAAGAGCCAGCAGGGTCAGCTATCAACCTGGCAGTGGCATATACAGCCATCTATGCAGACATGGAGGCTAAGAATCCCTGGAGTGCCTTGGTTACTAGGCCTTAAGTTAACAAAGAGGTGTGGTAGGTGGCTACGGCAAACTCTGTGGCAAGGAAGTCGCTGAGCCCAGGCCCAGGCTGTCCTTCTCGTGGCACAGTGTTTCATGTTGGTGCCTGCCCTGGGGCCAGTTGCTTTAACAGCCAGCCCCACCTGCTGTAGGTGTTACTGGGGAAGGAGAGGGCCAGGGGAGCAAAGAGTAGCCTCTCTCTCCCCTAGCTTTGGGCCTGGCAGACCCCCAGAGAAGGATGCAAGACAAGCTCTGTGTTGGCTAATCCTGCGTGCAGGGCAGGGTCAGGTAGGTCAGGCCCTTGCACGGAGGGGAGGGTTTAGTTGGAAAGCCCTTGCTAAGCATGAGGCACAGCTGTGGAAGACTTATCCATGGTCATCTCACTAAAAGCACTATGCAGCACATGCAGGCTGGATACATGGGTGCAAACACAAGGTCCTTTCTCTCCTGTCCTTGTTCCTCAGTGAAGGCTTCTCCTCAGAGCATTCTTCTACCCACTGAGGGAGAGGCCTTGGTTCTGCAGAGTGGAGCCCATCTGACTGGTGGTGAAATGCAGGTGAGGCCTCCTGGGATGGAAGCCTATCTCTGTGCTTGCATCAGTCTCGGGGGAGGTTGGGTGGGGGTATTTTTGTGGCAGATGGCTCCACACCCCAGATTTCACGGGCATACTCTGTAATGGTTCTGTCACTGGAGAACTTGCCCGAGTTTGCAATATTCCTGATGACTTTCTTAGTCCATTGTCGGGGATCCTGGGAAGAGGAGAGACACTTGAAGCAGTCAGTCCCTCACCAGCTCCGTCCCAGCTCGCAGCCTTGCAGGGCACCAGCTGTGCACACCTGACACTGGTGTGGGGGCTGCTAAAGCAGCAAAACCTCCCTCATGCCCACATACTGTGGTGTCTGTAAGAAGGGCTCCACTGGAGCACACTTCATCCCAGCTCCCCCCAGTCTCCCTGCCGATTGCCATGGCCAAGGACCCCATCCTTATCCCTCCATACTGGATATGTCTTACCATGAACAACTGGTCCACTTGGCCTTGGCATTTAATGTAGGCCTCATAGTCTGCAAACACCTTAAACCTGAAACCCAAAGCAGAGTACAGCTGGGGTTTGCTGCTGTAGAGTCCCAGCTGGGCAGGAGAGACTCCTCTGTGCAGGTAGGGCTCAGCCTCTGCTCAGGGAGACCTAGGCCAGTGGGGAAGGAGGCTGGGGCAGGCTGAGCACAGCCCACTGCAGGGGATGCTTCTCAGGACTCACCTGTCATGGTACATGAGCATGTTCACAACATCCCTGAAGCAACCAGGGTCTCGAGGAGAGAAGAAACCGCTGCTGATCTGGTCAATAGCCTGTCGCAACTCGGGCAGGCACTCGTAGTACTCCTGGGCATTATACCTGCATCCAGCAGTGAAAGGCTGTAGGGACTGATGCTCCTCCTGGGGCCCAACACCCAGGGAGCAGGACACTGTGTTTGGGGCAGGAAGGGCAGGCAAGGTTGTCGTATGGCTTCTGAGTGACAGGCTTTGTTCCTGGGTCTGTGTCCATCAGAGCACCTTGCTAGTGGCCCTGAGACTAGTGCCTGAAACATGGCCCAGGCTCATGGCCCATTCACAGCCACTGTGCTCTGGGTGAACTGCATCCTTGGTGGATGATACGCTGCCCAACCCGAGGCAACGGCTGCCTCCAGCCCCCTGCTTTTTCTTGCTCCAGAGCTGCCCAGGGAGGAGGGTGTCCCTCTCAGAGAACATGCTTTTTTCCCCTGCCAGAGCTGGGACACGTATCCCTATCTGCCAAGCCCTGGCATGCACTGGGCCCTCCCCAGCACCAACCCTTTACGATCCATGGCCTCCACGTCCTCCACCCGCATGCCAAATATGAAGAGGTTTTCTTCTCCTGCTTCCTCAGCCATCTCCACGTTGGCCCCATCCATGGTACCAATGGTGAGTGCCCCGTTCACCATGAACTTCATGTTGCCAGTACCCGAGGCCTCTGTGCCAGCTGTGGAGATCTGCTGGGAGAGATCCGCTGCCGGGATCACTGCCAGGTTCAAGAGAGGTGGGAGTTAATCCTTGGCACACTGCAGGTCCCCACAACCAGGACAGCAAAACAATCCTGGGCATCTGCTAGTGGCCCTTCTGACCTCAGCCTAAGCAGCACGACTGGCCAGGGTAAGGCTCAGCTTTGCTGTGACTCCATGCAGATGCTGTTGCTCCTGCATGAAGGTGGTTTCCTGCACTGTGTGGAACCCTTAGGCCCTTCCTAAGGGAGAGCCAGGTGGCCTGCCACAACAGCCTCTCAGACCAGCCAGTTCCTAGGCTCAGCTGAGGCATGGCCAACTCCTGACATATGCTTACACAAGACCAGACATACCCTTCTCAGCCAAGGATACACGGTAGTTCTCCAGGAAGATGACCTTGAGCTTGTCTCCCACATAGGGATCATTGTTGATGACCTCACCAACGGATGTGATGAGTTTGATGATCATCTTGGCCATGTGGTAGCCAGGTGCTGCCTGAAGAAGAGCAGGCCAGAAATGGTGAAAGCTTTTAAGGAAGGGAAAGCACGAGAGATAGAAGTGTGGGTCCTCACTGCAGGGAGAGTCTGGGCCTCACCTCTGCTGTTCACATAAGATCATAGAATGATTTGGGTTGGAAGGGACTGTTGAAGGCCATCTAGTCCAACCTCCCTGCAATAAGCAGGGGTATCTTCAACTAGACCAGATTGCTGAGAACCCTGTCCAACCTGACTTTGACTGTTTCCAGGGATGAAGTTCAGACCCTCACTGTAAAAATTTCTGCCTTATATCTAATCTGAACCAACACTACTTCAGTTTAAAACCACTATATCCATTGTCCTATTGCTGCAGGCTCTGCTAAAAAGTTTGCCCCATCTTAGGCCCCCTTAAAATACTGGAAGACTGAAATAAGGTCTGCTTGGAGCCTTCTCCAGATTGAAGAATCCTAATTCTTTCAGCCATGAAGTAGTGAAAACACTAGTGTGAGAAGAAGTCCTGAACCATAGGGAAACAGTGATGGGGCCTTGTTCAATCCAATTAGCCCATGGAGGTGTTTCCTGAAATGCCTGCCAGCAGACATGTGCCCAGCAAAACCTCAGGAAGTGTCAGTACCTTCCCCACACCCCTACTGAGTTGTGCATGCACTGAGTCTGGAATGCACATTACCTTTCCTCCAATCATAATAGTCCTGGGCACAAAGGATTTGGATGGATTACTTCTGATGCCTGAAAGAGTAGGGATCTTTCTTCAAAATTTTTCATATTTGAAAGCTCCCTTGCCTACCAGCTCAGGCAAGGACTTACGGTTGTAGAGCGTGATAGCATGCAGACAGTTCAGCAGTTGCCGCTTATACTCATGGATTCGCTTGACTTGAACATCAAACATGGATGAAGGGTTGATCTTGACCTTGTAATGCTCCTCCAAGTATGCTGCAAACTTCAGCTTGTTCTCCTGGCAAGAAAACGTAAGGAATAGGCATGGGGTCCCAGGGCTTGCATCAGAAGTGAGCATTGGCTGCTGGGATGTTCCTAGGAGTATAGTGCCTTTAGCCTTCTCCCCCCATCCTACCTCCAGTGCACATTACCTGTTTGACTTTTGCCACATCCCTGATAAAAGTCTCATTATTGATGAAATCCAGTAGCTTCTTCAGCTGGCTCAGATCTGTGATAAAGCCTTCCCCAATTTTCTGAAAGAACAAACCAAGAGAGGGATGTCTCATCCGTGACATGCCTCACCCAGCCCACAACTGCACTTTCCCAACAGAGATGCCACAATCTCATTGGGTACTGGAAAAGGCAACATGGTCAGGAAAAACTGCACAGTTTCTTATGGTGAGGTTATTTGTCCATGTCATCAGAGAGCCCAATGGAAATGGGGCACTTGCAAAAACTCAAACATGCTCCCCTCTCTCTCTCGAGGAGCTTTATTCAGAGGAGTGAGGATGTGTGCACGTGTACCAGGGCCTCTTGGCAGCTGGAGAAACTGATGAGCAGGACATAAAGATGCATTTAATTGCAGGATATCCATGACATGTTGCAATGGAAGCAAAAACCTGTGCTTAAGGGCCTGGCAAACAGAGGGGACAGAACTAGATAGGGCTAGGGCTCCCAGGGAGCTACTTTGCACCTAGGAACCTTTGCAGACACCCCATGGTCGTGCCTGACAGTGTTTAATCACTTGAGAGCACAGGGAACCAGATCTAAATTTCTGCAGCTTTGTTTTGGCCAATGCTTCATCATCAGCTTTAAAGCCCAGCCAATCTCACACCTACCTGTTCCTCCCAGGCTGTCCCCCCCCCACCTGCCAAGTGTCAGCCTCAGATCTCATCAGACCACAAGAAGAGGTGATCAAGCAGATCATGCTCACCCCCCTCACATCACATACTCACAACTCACCTCAGCAATAATGTCAGCCAGTCCTGGGTTGCACAGCAGGAGCCAGCGCCTCGGCGTGATCCCGTTGGTCTTGTTCTGAAATTTCTCTGGCTCCAGCTCATAGAAATCTTTGAACCTGGAACACCAGGGAGCTCTGAACCACCCACCACTACCCAGAGCTTCAGCTGGGCCCTGCATTTTATGTACTCCTGACTCTGCTGATCTCCCTGAAATAGGCATGAACTTTCTTTGCTGCCTCTCACCCCTTTCCTCAGCCGTAATGCCAAGAGTTTCACCAGCTCCAAAGGGGGAGAGTCTCTCCGACCTGCCACAGCCAGCAGGGTAACCAAAGCAGACCTGGACACCTGACTGTCCCAGCTAGCCCTCCCCAGGTTGCAGGCAAAAACCAATGAGTGGAGAGTGCAGGCCTTGGGTGTCCCCAACTCACACTGTGTTCTTCACAATGTCCGAGTGGATGCGGGCCACGCCGTTGACTGCATGGGAGCCAATCACGCACAGGTGGGCCATGTTGATACGTTTGCAGTCTCCCTCCTCAATCACTGACATCCTCCGGAGACGGTCAATGTCCCCTGGGTAGAGAGCTGCCACCCGCTGCAGGCAGGAAGAGGGATGTTAGTGACCTAGCCACAGGACCTAGGAGCATTCCTATCCTAAATGTGGTCAGATCAAGACCTCTGGAGTTCCCACAGCCTGTGACCATCCTGGTTCCTTACATCAAGATGCATTTGGTTGAGGGCATAAATGATCTCTAGGTGACGTGGCAGCAGCTTTTCAAACATGGAGACCGGCCAGCGCTCCAGGGCTTCAGGCAGCACAGTGTGGTTGGTGTAGGCACAGGTGCGTTTCGTGATCTCCCAGGCCTGCGTTACAGACAGCAGGTTAACGCGTACATGCCCAGGCCAGGAGGGGAAAGGAAATCACACAGCTCTTTCCCCTGCAAGGTTTGGCGTGGACCTCCCAGCTTTGCTCACCTTGTCCCAGTCTACTTTCTCCACATCCACAAGGATCCGCATGAGCTCTGGGATGGACAGGGCAGGGTGGGTGTCATTTAGTTGAATAGCCACCTGCAACACAGACTTGCTGGGCTCAGTTCTGGTGGTGACAGGACTGTGATGGTGTCCTGCATGCATGGGGTTGGGATGCAGGTCAGCCCCAAATCTTTGCTTGTGACACACACCCCAGAAACAGATACAGATCTCAGGAATGGAGCTATTCAAACTTTTCACAATTTGCTCCAAATTGCAAATTTTCCCTTGGGAAAATAGGCCCAGAGATCACCTGTTTTATGATCCAAATTGCCAGGATGTTTGTATACATGCCCCCACACTTGGTCCTGAGTGTCCTGCTCTCCCTTATGATAGGCAGGTCTGATGAAAACATCCCCAGACCATCTCTGCCCACAGACTCACCTTGTCTGGGAAGGTTTCAAAGCATGTTCTCACAGGGTCTCGACAGCCAAATTTGGAGGACTTAAAGCGGCGGATGATGTCCTGGAGGGTAGCGGCCACCACAAAGTACTCCTGCTTCAGCCGCAGCTCCTTGCCTTCAAAGAACTGCAGGTGGAGGGGACCATGGCCATCAGTGCTGCAGCTGCCATACCCATACCCACTTGGCAACCAAACCCCTGGAGATGCTCCTATCCACTCCAATGGGCTTCCCAACAGGTCTCACAGTTTTGGCACCTCATCAGGTGCAATCGTGGATGTTTCTCACATGTCTCTGATGGGGACAGCAGCTGTAGAGACTAAGTGGCTTGGCATCCCAAAGAGCTCCCTCCAGAGAACAAGAAAACCTGCCACATCCATGTTACTGCTACAGGGTCAACACAACATGCTCCCTTGCTGCAAGATCTTTTTCAGGGGATTTGGACAAAGGATTTTGGGTTCCCTGAAATAGCCAAGAGCTAGAACTGTTCCTCTGGAAACACCAGTGGCCCCTCGCACATACTGTCCTTTATGCTGGTCTGTTTTAAAACACCAGCAGGAA